CTAGGGTGAAACACCACTTGAGTCTGGGTATGGCTAGCTGACGACGGCTAATATGCCAGAAATAGCCATCTTAGTCTCCCTTGTCTCTGTCGGTAATGCCTTATGTTGTTTAGGCAAAACGATGGTCATTTCACGTGTGGTAGACTACTTAAATCTACAAAATGCATACGCTAGAAAGCTTTAGCTCTAGGATGAAGTTCGCCTCAGAATTTCACACCACTACTAGTGAGTACTTTCGAAAAGAAAGCAATTGCTACTTAATCGTTTCCATTAGGCAGAAGGTTATCTTTCAGTTTATCCTAATCACGTTCGCTCGAAAGCATGCGGTTATCTGCTAGGCAACACTGCTGGCATAAATAATTATGAAAAGAAATAAGATCTTCGGAAAATGGAGTTGTACTCGTGCCCGTCGTCAGACTAAAAGAAAAGTGCGGGGTGACAATTTCGCAGGGGGCAGAGGTTAAATCGAAGCAGGTGTTAGGGACTTAGGTGACGCGAATCCTGCTGCGGTAGGTGCTGCAAGTGAGAGGGGGTGTGAATATTTGGGTTGTGGGCTACTTGTCCGGAAAGATGCAGGATCAGTGAGGGGCTATATCGCCGAGTACGGATAGACTGTGGTTGTTTCACGCTTGGCAAAAGTTAGTGGACCAGGGCGTTGGATGAATCGAGATTCAGGTGCCTGTTTATGCTGTTTGTGTCCGAGTGTCAAGCTTCGAGAAGTGCTCATGCCCGTTTGTTTGTACAGTATACAGTACATTGTCTATCTGATGAAATGTCATGGTCTAGACAAGAGAATTCATTTTGCGCAGAATCAGCGCATGCGTCGTCCCCCCCCGTTTGATGGCAGTAAATTGAGTACTATAAGCAAAAAATATAGTTTGTTTGAGCAATTACTACTCACAAACATAAAATTAGTTAAATTTTACTAAAAATTCGAAATTTGAATAGTGACTATATTAGAGGTCACTGATCTCATGGTAAATATAATTGTTTTTAAGATAGGGCAGCTCAATAAAATGATAAATTTATACCTAATAAGTAAAAATACAGGATTTTAGTACCCTGTTGACTGTCCATGTACATTTAAAACAGCATTAACTCTGTTAGAAATAAAGATGGCCAGGTTGTTTATAGTCGTTTGTTAAATGTGACTATTCAGCAAAAGTTAAGTCTTTTTGTATGGAAAGATTATTTTTTGCCTTTTGCCAGTTCTCCTTGATAATTGCAAAATGATTTTCAATAGGATTGACATCTGTAGTCTCTAGGTAGTGTTTGTTCTCGGATCACTGCGATCATCAGGCCGAATCCCAGGTTATTGGTGGCAGGCGGAGGTCACCAGAATGAGGGTTTTATTGCGCACAGAAACCTAATTTGCTGTCACAGGCAGCACTGGTCACTTGCAAAGCCAGTGTAGGAGCCTACCCCGCCAGCACTGCCATGATCACTCATCTGCCTGCTCTATCAACGTGGCCAGCGTATTGATTTTTGGCTCATCGCTGATTACTGGTCCACACTGGACTTGCCTAGCAACTTGTGATGACTGATCTACGA